GCCTGCAACTGCGTGCAGTGTGTTCTCCCTTTCTCCTTACTTGCACGAAAGATTGGATGTTTATTTATTTATTTAGTGTAATAAAGCCCGGACACTTGTAATGTGCTAAGTGCAGGTTTTCCAGCAGGGTATTTTTAACAGTTTGGTGAGCATGAAGAATACTTCGGTGTGCAGATGTTGTGTTTTCACCTGATTCAGCATTGCACAGAAACCTAGGTAGGTCTATTGAAGAGCAAATAGATATTTAGCCTACCTGATTTTTTGGCTCGATCTGAAGTGCCTAGGCTAGAAATCCAGCTTTCTAGCTCCCCTGGGACCTGAATTAGGCTCTGACACCGATTCTCCCCATCTCCCTGCTCCTCTATGCCCAGTGCCCATAGAACATCCCTAGGGCAGCTCAGTGCTGACCCTGGAGCCTGGAGTCAGGACAGATGGGTCCAAAGTCTGTGGACTTCCCTCCTTGAGGAGCTTTCAGTGATTTGGGCTCTGTAGCAATTTTATTATTCAGCTCTTTCCATTTTCTCCTTTGTCACTCCTATGAACAAAAGGTTACACTGAATTCAGTATTGCTCTATTTAGATTTCTGAGCACTATTTTTTTTCTTAGAGTTTCTTTGAAACTTCCTTAGTGAATTGAAATTTAATATTACTTTAATGTTATGTGTAATATTTTCAATAAATATTATATAAAATCTAGACATGATTATACAATCTATAGATAAGGCATTTTTTTCAGAGCATTACTGGGATTTCCCCTAATTAAATACACTGCTGCCCTTCTTAATGCTAAAATTCGTTTCCACCTAATAAAGTTAACATAATGAGATGTACTGAATTTTATAACAAATTTTAAATACTGTATTCATATAATTTTAAATGTAAAGTAACGATAGAAATGCTCAAGGACAAAAGTTTTTAGTGAGATAAATGTTTATGCATAAACTGATTACATTATTCAAAGCATTCCACTTCCACAGCTAATATATAGGGAAAATCTATGGTGCATTAGTCTGGTACACTCTAAGAAGTATATGCACTGGTCCTTACCTTACCCAACTTATCAAATTATACTGAGGTAACAGGTATTGCACCTATTTCTGTGCCTGAATACTGGATTTCTTCAAACACTGCTATACAGAAATGCACGTAGGTGTGTTCTTTGTCTGTCTGTCTCTCACATTTTACTTTAACACTCCTTTTAATCGTAAAACCAGAGCTCTTTTACAGCCTGTCAGCCACACCTGGCTTGCTGATATCAGAACTGGCATGTGATCCCAGCTCTGACCTCGGGGAGGAAGCCACCTTTGTCCCTTAAACTCACTGCTTTTTCTTTTTCCTTCTTCCTAGATTTCATTAAAACAGTGTATTTTTACATGTGTTTGATCCCAGCAAAATCTAATGGGAAGTTATAGTGGTTTGGGCTTGTTTTGGATGGGAGCACTGAGCGTGCCCCTAAGGAATGTAGACTGCGACTTGCTCTTTCCTTAGCAATGCAGCAAGAAGATGGGGGAGGCAGGAGCTTGGAGCTGACTTTGCTGGTCAAAAGAGAGTCCTGAAGTGGCATTTTCTTCCCACCTGCTCAGCAGATCCCTGCAGAGGAGGGCAAAACACACTGCAATTTTCCTAGTTTGCTCTTCCATCCCGTGCTCCGTACAGCGGGATTCTGCGTCCTGCACATCACAGGCGGGTGATACTTTCTGGTCTGAGGTATGACGGTGCCCCAGCTCATTGCTGGCCTTGTTATTTGAGGTTTTGGGGCCCTTTTTAGGGTGCAGTACGTGGTGGGTAGCTGCAAGTCACTCAAGGTGTTGGCCCATCCTTTGAGACCATCGTCCGTGACGGGAGCTCGTGCCGGCGAGATTTCCCCCGGAGCGGGACCAGTGCTCCCCGTTAGCACCCAAGCACCCTGGCTATATTTAACTCCAGCCACACTGCAGTTAAACCCAGGCTTATTGCTTTCCTTGGGGGGTTGGTGATAAAATTAGCAAACATTTTTATTTAGCTAGCATTATATTCCTTGACTTTTCCGCAGACATGTTACTCGACCTCAGTGACCTTCTTCAGGTATGATATCTATTTTTATTCGTAACTCTTGTTGAATTGTTAAAATTTAATATTAATTGGAAGCAAAGAGCTGTCTGTATGGGTCTTTTGAGTTGTATCAAAAAAAAATCTAAATGGGAAAATTACTGGGTTTGTAAGGGTAATTTTTAAACAAATTTAAACATCAAATATTGTTGCTTTTAACATTACAAGTCATGCATCAGTGGTTAGTATGATCCTTCCATCAGAGGCACTGCTGTGGCACGGGGTCAGATGTTACGGGTTTTTAAAATAACAGTTGCTGAAGACAGAAATAACTTTTTTTTTTTGAAGGTAATACTGCATAAACAGACTAGTGCTCTTGAGGGACAGAGAAATATGTACTTGCTCTGTATGTGGAAATAGAAAGCTCTTTTTGACGTAAGCTGTCTTACTCCCTTTCTCCGTGTTAAAACTGTTTTACATACAATGTGAGTAGGTTAGTTGTATCTATTTTTGTCTTCCCAGCTGTCTTTGTAAATGGCATCCCTCTGAAGCCTATTTATTGCTTAAAGCAATCTGCGGAACTGCAGCAATCAAACGAATCTTCAATTCTTAAAATTACCAACTTCTTTTATCCCTTCCAAATTCTCTTTGAATTAATATTGATCATTTAAGCAAATATTGCATGTGTAGAATGAGAGGTTTATTTTCTTTGAAACACTGGTAATTTTTTTTCATGCCAATTGTTATGAAATAGGATAATCACTGTAATATAAGGACTGTTCACAGAATATGAAGAACCAGAGTTACTGTGTCTGCGGGAAAGAAGAGGGAAAGATTTTTTGCCATTTTTTTCCCTATTTTTTCTGTACATTCCAGCCAGAAAGTTGGTGAGGTGGGGAGCAGAAGGCTAAAGGCGGATAACCAAAGAGATGGGAGAGCCAGAAATATTTTGGTAGGATGGAAATAATCATTTTTGGAAAGAAGAAAAATTGGCAACATAATGTGAATTTTGTAATTTCTTTTAAAAGATGAATCTGAGTAAATGAGGATCTTGCATGTCATTATTAGCTGTAGTGAGCCAGAAACAAAAGTCCTTTTTAGAAATGCAAAAAGACCCCAGCTTTTAAATCCTCTCTTTATATTTTTATTTATTCTCCTCACCAGAAGTTGTTTTTTAAAAAAATCCCCTCTTTCCCCCTACCAGGATAAACTATCTACATTGCTGGGATGAAGTTAAGCTACCTGCAAAGGGCTTCCTAGGTGGTTCTTAGCTTATTGATGCTTCAGTTTTCTTTGAGGTTGGTGGCAGAACAGTTACTGCTCGGGCAGAAAGCGTTGGTGGGTTTTGCTTTCGATCAGTCTGTGTTCCCAGATTGCCTGCCTAGCAAAGAGCAGGAATTAATTTGCTCTGCCGTGCGGTTACCTTGAAGTATATTTCTCAAGGACAGCTCTCTGAAGCTGGGATAAGTCTGTCATGAAAGAAGAAGAAAGTAGTAGCAGTGGTATTATCTTTCTAAAACATTAACTTTTTTTTGACTTGTACACACAAAATACATAATATTGGTTCAGGTACTTGTTTTTCTTGGTCGCAAATGAGAAAGGTGTTAAGTTCCTGTCAGGAAAAAAAGGACATTTGAAAGTCCAAAAAAAAGGGAAAAAGTTACTGCTGAGTATCACTAACTCTTTCTTTGATGCTACTTCAAGTAGCTAAATCGAGTTTTTTTTCTACGGGATTTTCTACGTGAGGCAGCTCTGCTGCTGCTGGAGGTGGGATTTTCTGAAGAATGTTGCTAAGTAAAAGCCTTTATGGAGCCTGTTCGTAAAGGCTGCTGAGGAAATTACAGAACCCCTTGAAATATGTTCCAGTACTTTTGGAGGGAGGAAAACAACCTTTCATATATCTCTTGATCTGATAGAAGGACAAAAGTAAGCCTGAGAAGCCTTTGCAGCTACCAGCAAAAAGGATGAATGAAAACGAGTGTAAAATTACACGGACGCTTCCAATTTTTTGGCATTTAAATCTCCCATCTTCTCTGCAGATGAAGTATGTCCTCTGTCCTGGAGGAAGCTCCTCTTGGAAGCATCAGAGTCGATATGTCTCTGGTGTGTCTAGACTTTAAAGTGCTGTGATCTGAAAAATCAGACCACTTCTACAAACTGGGCTCCTTCCTAGTGCAGCGCGAAGGACGATTCTGCATGTTGATGTGTTGGAAGCACGAACAGTCATTGCTCTCCTTTTGGGAGAGTACTCGTTTGTATTTTCAGATACTGCATTTTACTTGCAAATATGGTCTTTAGAGAGGTCTATAATCAAGTCTTTTGTATCCTTTTCTGTTACTCCAATCTAACTGACAGGCCTTGCTTGTTTAGGAGAGCTGAGAAGCTTGTCCTGCCTTGGCCCAACTTTTGTAGAGCTTGAGTTTGCTCATCGGTGTCAGAGCATCTTTACTCTTTCCAGCCGGAGGATGGCTTGGCTAAACTCTTGATCTCAGTGTCATAAAATGTTGTCTTTCTGATTGTGGGAAATGCCAGTCTCTTTCTCTCTCATTTAGCTGTTAAATCAGGCTAATAGTACTGAAAAAATGTTAGATCCAAGCTCTTCATAGCAATGTGAAGCAGGAAGATAAGGACCAATGGATGTAAATTGAAATGATAGATATCAGGAAAAGTATTTTTTTCCCATGAGAATGGTCAAGTACTGGAGCTGGTGGCTTAGAGAGGTTTGAAGCCTCTGTACTCGGACACTTTCAAGATCCTGAGCGACCTAGTCTGATCTCATAGGTGACCCTGCTTTTGGCAGGAGATTGGGCTAAAGACCTCTCTTTCAACCTGAATTATCCTTCAATTCTAGATAAGCAAAGAGAGTGTGCAAGAAAATCAATAAACAACTCTAGATTTTTCTCAGTTTCTTTTTCACTTCAAAACCTTACTCTCAAGCCCCCATTTCCTTCTCTTCAGGTAGTCAGGACAAGTAATAGCGGCTTCCTGTCCAGAAGCATCTTCACTGTGCGCTATTTTTAGAAACCCTTTTGAATCAGCATTGGTTTCCCTGATTCCCCAGTGTTTAGCACAAATTATTCCTGTACTTTCTTGCATAATTGGTGTTCCAAGGCTTCTTGAACAGACGTGGTGGTGGAGGAGGAACACGAGGACAGCAGCGTTATGCGGTGAGCAGGAGCAGACGCTCCCGTAGGAGGCCCCAGACTGAGGGCAGTGCCTTGCGGCGTCACTTGAGCTCAAGCTGCTCTGTGTGGATCCGTGTCTCTTCTTGAACTGCAGTCTGCCCAGACGGCTTTGGTACCTGCTTGTACTTTCATGCATTGCTTATCTTCTGGGCTTCAATGTTCTGGTTAAAGTATGGACCAAAGAGGAGGCTTCAGCTTATTGTGTGGAGAAGGGTAAAAGAGAATAATTTTGCTTTTGATTTGCTTTGTTTTCTAATGCTCTTTGTTCACTTGAAGATATTAACACGTTGACTGCATTTGCCTTTATTGCCCCTATGCAAATTTTTATGTTGATTGAGTTAATTTAAACAACCTGGTTGGGACCTTCAGGCATAGCTATAGTAGCAATGTTAATAATGAATCAAATAACCACAGGTGCCTCTTTCCCCAGCAACAGACACTCTCCTTAAAAACTCATTTGCTTTTCATGCTTGCTTAATTATTTAGGCAAGCAGCCATGGATGTTTCGCAGTGTGAATCCTCAGTCAACTCCAACTGCCCAGGCTTGGGCCTTCCGAGAGAGACAAGGCCTCAACCCCGCCAGCCTTCACAGCCCTCTTGTGAGAGGCACCCCCGATCTTGCCAAGCCTTTTTGAGAACTGCTTCCAGGGAAAGGGCATTTATTTACGAATTTAGGGAACTTATTGACCCTTTTTGCTTGAGCGTGCTTACAGCGGTATTGATTGCTGCTGTCGGGAAGGTAAAGCAATCTGGTAGTGCCATGAATGAGAGATTCTGTGTTTTCCAAAGAGTTTTAAATTCTGGAATATGCCAGATTGATCTACAATTGAATTTCCTTGTTCCTAAAATGGAAGTAATTTATAATTATTTGCAAAAGTGGAAGTATACTGGTGTTTGTGACTGTATCAGGTATGATGTAAAAGAAGAATATGGAAATTATGAAAGAGGAGAAGGTATTGAAGATAAGAAAGGGCTCCTCCATGGGAATGTCCCTTTACAATGATGACTGACGGATGGGAAATAAAATGACCACTGCTTAGAAAATTAATTTACTGTGAAGGGCAAAGAGTATAATAAGTAGGAAGATATTTCTATAAAAGATATAACTAAATAATTGAAAGCCATGTCTAACTCTCTAACTAAAGTAGGTCTATGGCTGGAGCAGAAGTTAACTACTGGCAGGGGATTGGATTGGATCATCTCTAGAGGTCCCTTCCAACCGCTACCATTCTGTGATTCTGTGACACAATCTTACCAAATATTAAGCTCTCCTGTAAGAGCGTAGGGGTAGAAATGTTTGGTTTTGCTGTGCCTTGGTAAGCACATGCTTTTTCCCTGGTAACAGTCTTCCTGCAGAAGAACCTTCATTGAAGAACCACCTCGTAGGGGTAGGTCCGTATGTTTATAAACAGAAAAATGTGGACTGAGCATAAATGAATGTGGTAAAAACTTTTGGGGATATGCAGGTATTTTTGAACCACCTTTCTGAAACAGAGGAATGCCTTTCTTCATTGTATTGGATATTGATACTCAAGCCTATTGATTACTTGAACTTCAGGAAATTTTTATTTCTATGAAAATAGGCAAACAGTGCAGAGAGCACAGGTCACTTGGAAGCCTGTAAAGCTAACCTTACACTTCATATTGACAATGGTAATTTGGGAGAATACTTGTTTTTTTCAGTATGAGCCTTGTAAATGAAGTAGAGAAGAGAGAAATCCGTTCTCCACATTAAGGCTGCACCAATTCAAGTCTAAGCCAGAGATATCCTTTTAGAAGGGCATGTTTGTTTATTCACTGTGCTAAAGACCCATAAAACTAGGTTTTCTGTATGCAAATGTCACATGCTTCTAACTTTGGAGGACTGAGCTTTCTGTGGATTGGAGTATATGAATTTTCATAAGAAGTTCTTACTGAATGAAGGACTAGAAAGTAAAATAAGCCTCTAAATTAATTATTTTAATTTTCTAACCTTAATAGAATGCAAAAAGCATAAATGCTAATGATGAGACAATAGGTACCTATCATTATTTATCACTGATAAATTTCATCATATTTTGCACACTCAAGATAGGTGTGTGTGCAGTAGTTCAAATTAATGACAATGGCATCAAATTTGACTGAAAGGGCCTTTTTCCACCCAAAGAGTTCCTAGACATCCTGTGTGAGCAGTACAGCACTGTTACTGATTCTGCCTGAGCTTTGTGCCACCTTTAAGTTCTTGTTTATGAGGAATGCCCCAGAGAGTGCGAGCATTTGATAACTTTTCCAGATGAGAAATCTATTCTTTTCAGTGTGTCTGAAGTATCTCTTCATACAACTTGAGCAGGAAAACTGGAAATATTTAAATATGCTGCCACCTTCTTGTGACTTTACACTGGGATTAAAACTACGTGATCTTTATGAAAGAAACAGTACAGAGCACGTAACCAAGTGCACGTCGTCCTTCCTTTCTAGACTGATAGTAACCAGTCATTGCAGGAAACTTGCACTCTGATCAAAAAAAGAAAACCACCTTTGTGCCATTTGTATTTGAATTTATTGTTTTGTATAAACAGACTGCCTACACCCTAAAGTCGGCCATAAAACTGATGATGTGGGTGAAGTGGAAAAGCAGGTTATATTTAAGTACATTGCTTCCCGAACAGACCATGGGGCTAGAGACTTTTAAACCAAGGATAGGGAAATAAAAGTGGGTCACAGAGCAATTTTAGAATGTGTTTGTCTCTGCTTTAGATTTAATTCAGCTCCCACTTTGAATATTAGAACATCACTTTAAAAATGTTTCCTTGTGTCAATTTGTGTATGTTTGTTCTTTGAGTGCATTTATGGAAATTTTGCTTGGGAGGAGTTTCTTAAAGTGACATGGTTAGACGGGGGGGAGGCACATGAAATATTTGGATATCCTGGCAAAAAAAAAAAAAAAAAAAAGGAGAAATGCTTGTCTGAATTTGATTTTTAATAGACTAAATGAAAGAACTAAATTAGTTTGTGAAGCCTCTGATGGAAATAGCATATGTGCTTGGCTGTATTCAAGTAACTTTATTGATTTGTGCAGTGAAATTCTTCTTATGAAAAAAAAAAGATATGAGTAATTAAATTTAAGATTTATAGTGACTAGGCATAGTAACTAAGTAGGCTGGAATAATGGTCCAAATCCCCACTATTTATGTTAAAATTTTCAAACAAAGGTCAAAACAACCCCCCTTCTTGCCCAAACTTGCAGTGAATCTAGAGCATCTAAAGCCAACTGAAGCACTGCGGGTATTTTGCTTTAGTGTAATGCCTGTTTTATCTCTGTGGCACGTGGAAAGTTGCATGCTCTCAAATTACTGTAGGCAATGCTGGATTAAGCAGGTGTTTATTTTTTGGTATAAACTCGGTGATTTAATAGCTATAAAACACATCCCTTATTCAAATGATATATTTTGATCACTTCCTTTCGATAGAAAAATATTTTGATCTTGTCTGGCATTTCATGGCAGGGAGGGAAATGTAGTAATATTTAAGACTATAATTTTGTATTTTCTGGGCCAGTCTCACCATTGGTCAGTTGAAGTATGGAGGATATTTGACGCTTTCCACTACATTACAGAGTAAATTAACATCATCTCCGCTCGACTGAACAATCACTCTCGGGTTATAGGATAATTTGAAGACTTCTTCAAAGTTCTTCTTGTTTGAGTTCACATAAAGAAAAATTGATGTTAAATTTTTTTCACATAAAAGTTGTGAGTGCAAGGCTGGGTGAGAACGTGCCAGTATTTTTAACTGCCTGAGTAGGAGCATCTGCACGTTTGGGAGAAGAATATGCCTTTAAAGTAGTGTTTTCAAAGCACTCTTGTGAAAATGAAACGTCGTACCCAGAAACAGGGTTTTGTATTTCCAGGGGCTGGTAGAAAAACCAGCAGCTCTGCTGGGTAATTGACTGTTTCACAAACACCGTCATTACCCACGCGTAGGAAAGAGGGGCAGCTCTGTTGCATAAAAGTAATAGAGTATATGTTATCTTAAAGGAAAAAAAAGGTCTATTTGTTTGCAGTGTAGGAGGCTGGAGTTTTTTATACCATCTGACTTTGACCTTCATCTGTGCCTTAGGGCAGCAAGGTGTGCGTGGAGCTTCGTGGGAACGCTCAGGTCTCATGGGGACCTGAAGCAAATCCTGCCTTTCTGGCTGGCCACAAAAACACATCTTAAAATAGTGAAATAAAACTTCTTTAGACTTTAAAATACAACGGTAGTTTCCCGTGGCATAAATTGGGAAGCAGAGGATGGAGAGTAACTCCTGCTCCGTGCTGCTCCGTGAAGGAGGGCGCAGGAGCAGGGCTGTGGGCTTGGCTTTTTGGCAGTCTGCACTCGGCTGTGTTTGTTTTGTTTTATTTTGTTACGTAGGGTGAGCTGGGGCAATGTCCAACCAATAAGAAACAGCAAAATACCCTCCGGGCACGTTGCACCACTCCTTTCCTTGGCGGAAAAGTTTGGCGTTGGGTTGTGCAATGCTTAATTATCCTGCCTCGCATGATTAGGCAGAGCTGAGGTTTGCACTAACATGTGGTCATTTGCTCAGGTTTTGTTATGAGCTACATGACAGTTTATGTAGATGGATACTACGTTAAAGTCTATTGAATGCTTTAAGTATTAGGTGGTAACAGAATAGTCCAAGCAATTAAGAACACAGTCCATTGATGAGCATTGTGAACAATTTTTTGTAGTTCATTTTAATATGAACTTGTGCAAACAATTCTACGTCGTGCAGATTTTGACAAGCACCTATATTATTCTATGCCTATGACTTGCATTATTTTTTAAAGCAGATTGTTTAAGATTTAAACAGTGATTTTTCTCCCCATGTAAATAGTATATTTGTGGTTTAAGATGTAAATAATGCTTTTTGTCTTTTAATAGGTGAATGTCTATGTGCTGGGAAAAACTTTCCTTCTGTTGGCCAGAGAACTCTGCATAAATGCTCCAGCTATAGGTATTTTTTTGAGTTGACTTTTAAATATTTGGGTATATTTTATGCATGGTTACTTTTCAAAAAACTTATATATGTGTATGTGCATAGTATTGTGCTTTATATATTTGTACGAAAGAAGTAACTAAAAATGAAGCTATAATCAATCTAGGCATAAAAGAGAGGGCGATCTATGGGAATCTGTTCTTCCTCATAGAAGACTGTGGGAGCTAGATGCAATTTTCTTTCACAGTTAATTTTGTTGATTTTTTCTTGGAGAAGTTTAGGCCATAATGAGATGCTATGACTATGATGCTAATGCATCATAAATTTATGTTTTTCTACAAGCTTACACAAGCTTGACAAACTTCCATTTGACAAAGATGCAGCATTAGATAAATATTTGCCAAACCTAATATTTATCCATCACCTGTTGCTGAGATGATCAGCACTTGAAATACAAGTGGCTTGATGGAAAATGAGGAACAACTTTTTTCAAGTATGTTGATAACATTTTAATTAAAATGTCATAATTGGAATAATGCACTGTGACAGGAAGGCAGCTCTTACTGTGTTAAAAGCTGCGTTTGGTACTAATAACCTAGACAAAAGTGCACACTCGTCACATTTCAATCCTCTGCTAAACTTTGTAGCTTTCAAGCCCAGGGAATTGATGCCAGTTCCAGTAAAAAGGGCAAGTTTAGAGAGCTGTCTTGTGACTCTATTACCCACCTCTGTTCAGGAATTTTTCTCCTGTATCTTTACCCACTCTCCCTCCCACTCTTTTCAGCCCATGTTGAGAGAATCGCATGTCTTTGTGCTCGAGCACAACACGTGCACACGCGCACGCACGCACCCCCTTCCCCTTTCCCCCTTTCACATTTTCTCGGTTGGTCCCAGAGCTGCATTCCGGCTCCCTCCCTTTCCAGCACAAGAACTTGCCTCGCACATACCGAGCATTGTCCTAACAGCATCCACGGAGTACGTGGCAGGGAACGGCTCGCGGCCGCCGTGCTGAGCTGCCTTATTGCAGTCAAAAGCTCCCCTTGTTTTCAAGAATTCAGTTCCCTGCCTATTTTTCATTGTCATTTTTCTTCTCCTTAGTGAGAACGGCAAGAATTGCAGTGCAGCTTCGTTTCCAGGTTAAATTAATGTTATACAACAGCGTAGAAGAAAGCAGGCAGTTCCCCCTGTCCCCTCATTAGATACAGAGGTACAAATTAATTCATGTTGCAGGGGGGAACATTGTTTTAGACTGCTGTTCAGGTACTTTCAGGGCAAGAAACAGTGCAAGAAACTTGTAACACCCAATATTTCTCACTGGCTCATCCATAACGATTGCCAGATACTTCAGGAAAACACCTACTTTTTTTTACCCTTCTTTGAGAAAACTCAATTATGGTAGATATAAAATGATAACTGATAGTATATATAGGAGGGACTACAGGTGTTGATAGAGGAAAAGGACCAGCTGTTTTAGTAATTTTGAGCAAACTTACTCTGTTGATACATTGTTGAGTGAATCTGGGTATTGGTCTCCTGTCTGCTCTTAACTGGGAGCCCATAATACATATTTAGATGCGAGGCTGGCAGCATTATAGCTCCTGGCTATAAGCCCTGTGTTAGGCCTCAGCTATGGAGCTGGACTTGGGCTGCTCAAGTCTGCACTTAGACAGGTGCCAAGTGTCACTTTAACCTCACATTGCCTAGCAAACAGTAACTGCAGATGATGCTAAAAGCAGCGGGGGAGTGGACAGCTTAAGGTTTCAGCGATAGAGCTGTTTTTAGCTTAGGCAACACAAGAAAAGCCTGAATTTCTGCATGGGGCAACTTCCTTCCTGCAGTGCAGGAGTTGCAGGTACCTGCACAGGGAACCTCTGCGTTGGTGGCAAGAGGTGTAGGCCTTGTGCCCATCAACCCGGGGGCCCAGACTAGGGCATTTTGACTCTTGGTAGCAGCAGAGAGTTTAACAGAAGCCATAAAATCAGCAATGATCAAGTACACAGAGTTTAGGGCAAGTAAAAATGTTTTATATTTCACAGATTCATAAACTGCTCTAGTTTAGAACATTCTGTTTAAGTCAGCTGCAGTCTGCAAGTTAGTTATCTATATACAAAATAAATGCACAGTACGTGCAAAACTTTACATTTCTTCTGCTTGTTGCAGTCTTAATAATTAAGTCAAATAGCTTATGAATAAATAAAATAAGATTAAATTCAAGAGCATTCCTTCACTTATTTGATAGCCTGATGTAGTAGATAGGTAAGTAGCATAACATTCCATACTGCTGGAGAGTTCTGTAGTAAAACTGAAAAATCCCTTAGTGCGCATAGCAGTATTGGAAAACAGAGTGAAATGCATCATGCATAGAAGATGAGCTCAGGTATCTGTCCTCCTTGTACTCCAGTCCCGTTCGTACTGTCCGAGGAGCACTGGAACTGGAATGTCACTTTGCCACATTGCACCTCAGTCATTCCCTCTTGCCCAAAGTAACTGAGTTCATTGCCATCGAGAATAGCACTTACATTGTAAAAAGTATCTTGCTCGACCTGCACAGGGTGTTCAAACCATACAGAGAAAGTGTTACTGGATCCGTCAGAGGTAAACTTGGTCAGGTTTTGTGCAAGGACCACTCCTAAGCGTTTCAGTTCAATTTTGACACTGTATTCAGCCTTGCCACAGCTTGACCCGTACAAACCCAGTCCTGCTATAAATATCCGTTTGTCTACGGCAAACTGAATACTGTCACAGCGCCCTCGGTACCTCCACTGGTTACTGCGATACGCGGACGACTGAAAGCGGTGGCATCGCTGGGGTACAAGTCCTTTCCTTTTGGTCAGCGGGAACTCCAGTTTGGGTTTATTTGCAGCCGTGTACCATAGGAATATATTGTGAGTCTCCTCAAGGGTGAGGATGTCGGACTGGGCCGCTCCGTTGGCAAACTCCTCCAAAGTCATAGTTGGAATCCGCACCAAGTACAGAGCTTTGCCCAGCACGCTCCTCTTGTTCCGCGGTGTGGCCGGCAGCCCCTGCCTTTTACATTCAGCCTCTGCCCAGTTGAGGACAGCCTCAAAAACCACCACCTCCTTGGTGTTGAGCGCCTCCCGGGTTACGATGATCTCCAGCGTCTGCTGATCGATCTCGCAGAAGCCTTCCGACTTGAGGGCCATTTCTGCTTGGGCATCAATCACTTCCCAGCAGCGCTGCGTCAGTTCTGGCTCCTCGAAGAGCCTGCTCTGAGACAGCAGGACGCACGCGTTCTTCGCCTCCAAGCTCGTCTCCAGAAAATTGACGCAAGCCTTCGCCAGGGCCGGCACAATGTACTTCTTGGCAGCATACAACGTAGCCAGAACCGTGTCAGCTTCCAGGTCAATCTCATCACTATACATGTATCTAGGTAGGGGGGGAAGAAGGGGAAGGGGGGAAAAAAAGAAAATTTATGTAGTTTCTTAGGAAGAAAATGAAACACAGCCCCCTCCCAAAAATAATCTATAAGCAAAGCTGCAGGCAGCATGCAGTCTGACATTCAGGATGTGTCAGTGTGCTAAGTAAACAATAACACATGGGTATTGCACAACGCCAATTAACAGAGGGAGATTTTGTAAGCTACTTTGATTATGTCCATGTAATTAGTAGGCTTGTAGTGGCCACTTACTTTAATAGGATTAGAAAGGCTGCAGGTTCCACATCTGGTATATGGATTTCAGATTTGACCTCTGCAAGATCACCGTAAAACATAGCATAGAAGACGGAGCTACCAACTGCCAAGACGTACTGCAAAACAGGGAGAGAAGCCTTAGGACTAGGTATCGGCGGTGGATAGTAGATAATTTTGATAAGAGCTACATTTAGGGAGGCTGGAAAGCTGCCGCTGAGACAGGGAACTGTTTACAGCGTTTTTTTTTAAGATGTGCACGAATTACATCTGAGATCAGATGAGAACCATAGTTAGGAAAAGGTAGCCCTACTTTTAAGGGGGGAAAAGAAGGGGATCCATACAACAGCATCCACACAAACCTTATGGGCAGGAACTTTCTTGGATGCCCCCGGCGGGCCCACGATGAAGTGAACGTCAGCCATGAGCTCGTTATTGAACATCAGCGCGTTCCTGCAAGTTCGGAGGGGGAGGAAGAGGCCGGGTCAGCGGGTGCAGCCCGTCACCCACAGCCG